ACCTCTCTGCATGGGCTATTCCTGACAGAACAATTCTGGACTAGGTGATATATCATAGGGCTTTTAAAACACTAAACGATACCCTATCAAGCTTTGACATCATTTTAAGACCTCTCTACAATGGGTGAAAGTGAGTCTACACGAAGAATACCGGTACGGGTACAATTTTTATTACTGGTATAATATTTAATATGAAATACCAGAAAATTAGTTATGTCTAGGAGTAGGAGGTTTGACTGGATCTATTAGTAACACTCTATAGGTCGAATAGACCCTATGTTGGCCCCTAACAGAGCAGATGTAGGCACAATTAATTGTCCTATATCCAATATATAGGCTATAGTTAGGCCAATTAAATTTTTTAAATTTAATTTGTGCATAGCTTCGGTTATGAAATGTGCTTGTGCCATACTCATTAAAGATTCTTTAAAGATCCAAATCTCCTACACTACTTAAAACTACACACCCACCCCGGCTTGGAATGTGATCTAGAAATGTGCGTACTTATGGGATCATTTCTGTCTAACAATAACACTCTGCATTATAGACCCACTAATTATCACTCAATAATAAATTTGTATGCGTGCATGGGCGCCCGCAGTTAGGGGCAAGTGGGGGGCACTTACCCCCCCCCCCCTTAGATTGATTGGAAAAATTTAGACAAAAAATGTATTAAAGTAAAGATAAAATAAAGAGAAAGTAACTAAGCTGATGTCCTGTCCGTTCGTTCACCATACAAATGCGCTACAGTAAATTAAGACTATATTAAAACAAACTAAAAAATTTTGCCCCCCACCCCAGGAAGTTAATCGATCCCCCCCCGAAAGTTTTCTGCGGGCACCCATGTATGCGTATACTGATTAAGCTAAGTAACTAAGTATATTACTTATACTACAATTGTGTATATACCTTATACTGCATAATATTTAGTATAGTAATAGGCTATTACTATTATACTACCGGTATACAGATATTACCATACTAATATTAGTAATAAATTTGCCCTTTTTTTATAATTGATAGTGAAAAAAATTCGATAATAACTCATGACGGTTCAGTATACTAATAGTAATATTAATAATAATAATAATAATGAAGTTCATTTCAAAAACACGCTTCATCCCCAAAGGCTCGAAGCGCGGTACAATGTCAACAAAATACAAATCTATAATTTACCACATTTAAAACAAACGCAACACTACAAAAACTAATTACTAGCATACAATTGCAAAGTCTTTCTAGCCATTTCAACCCCAATATTAATAGCCTACATCCAACAATAATTTTTCACCAGTCTAGATCTAATGCATTATATGATTATTCGCAGATTTCGGTCTGCCGATAACGCTAAACATTATTCACAGAGCTGTGTGGATAACGCTCGCCGTTATTCACAGATTTCGTTCTGCCGATAACGCTAAACGTTATTCACAGAGCTGTGTGAATAACGCTTCCCTTTTTTGAAAGCTTTTCGAGTAGATTGCCGAAATGTGTACTGTCGTGTGGGTCACTGAACCTGGTCATTGTACAAAGCCTTATTGAAAAGTATAAATATTTATCATTATTTTTCTTTTTTTTCAATTTTGTGCACGACAGTTCAATTTTTTTGTTCGACTTTGATACATTTCCCCTCCACTCCCTTTTTTTTTAACAGAAACTCAACATTAATAGCAGAAAATTCGTCATTATCCTAATGAATCCTATAGTTTCGAGAATAAAGTGGTTCATCTCTATTTTAGATCATTTTGACGGCCATGTGAACAATGGTGCACGCGAAGTTAAATCTTTATTTTATGGATGTCAGCCCATCTGCAATGCAACAATTCTGTTATTGCTGGCGACCTACTGACCTCGTCTGGCATTCACTTCGGATGACCTCGTTTCTAGTCGGCCGAATGACGCAGGCAGGCTCATACATATTAATAAGGTCTGGTTCAACGAAGATAGTTTTCAGTCTCACTTGAATTCTCTGGTAACAGCAGATTGGATACGTTTGTCAGTTCGAGGACTAACAACAGGATTTTGCAACTTGTAGCTACTGTTTGGTTTACAAAAGAATAATCTACTATGCCTGCTACTACTGAGCAGCTTACCAAATATGAAAAGGTAGGGCAGTGAGTTATTGTGTTTTGTACACTGACCGATTTAAACTAATGTAATGTATAACAAAGTAACAGGCGTGCATTAATTAACTTATTTTTATGTTTCCATTTTTAGGTAACTTTTTTTTTTCCCATTCAAAGCGAATAGCTAACTGCAATTTTTGTTGTTGAATTTAAAATGTGTTTAATTATGATTGGTACGTGTATTTCCTCATCATCTGTATTTACATTTGTCAGTCTGAAGACAATTATTTAATTATGAGGAGAAATACCTTTCTTTATTCTATCTTTTAATGAAACTAACATGGATTTGTTATTGTATACTTAACTAATTAAATAAAACATTGCATTATTAAAACACGACCACGACCGTTGAAATCAATCCCTTTCTATTTTAAATAATGCTTTCAGGCCATTCGTTGCTCAAATAACATTCACTGTTTACTTAAATTTAATACTGTTTTGAATTGTATCGTGGTCTTTCACTATATGACTATATGTAAAAAGTATGTTTAATGAAAGCAAGTCAGTCTCCCCACAATGTATCACCGTGACGTGTTTCTGCTGGCTTCTAACCCAACGTTTCATCATCACGTCAATGTTGTTTTGTTGGATACTGAGACACGTTTATGGATTGAATCACCGTCTGCTTGTCATTGAACGTGAATACAACAAACATCATTTTGGACGCCTGCCAAACTTGTCCGACTACGTTGGCTGCAATGCTTCATTTTGATTGGCCCAAACCACATGTGTGTCTCTACACACCCCCAACGTAAAGGGTCGAATAAATTATCTTCACCAAGGACATAATACTTCGCAGTAAGCAATGCTTGTTGAGTTCAAGTTGAAGGGAAAATGGAGGTGGGCCAAGTCTATGTCTATGTGCATGAAGAAGGCTGCCCTTCCGTCGAATGTGGCTACATTTACGACCTCAATCCAGCATATTATTGTGACCAGAGCACAGATATAATAGGCTTGCTAAAGTCTAACTAAATTATTAGCGGTTAACTTAAGGAGGGGGAATATGAATGTTCAACATGATTATTATTTCATGAATGATTAAGTTTCTAATATTAAACTATAACTAGGAAGCACTGGCGTAGGTTTTTTTTTTAAAAAGTGGGGGGGGGGGGGGGGAGGGGGAAGAAAAAAAAAAGGGGGGGGGGGGAGGGGGGGAGGAAAG